TTGTGGAGATGGAATCATCTTCTGTGGAAGTTTGCTACTGTCAGGCTACAGTCTGTTAACTAATTTACCCAAAGCTCAGCACAATCATGCGGTGTATACTCTCTTTGTTAATATGATCTGAATAGTTACAGTGCAACTTGATAGTATTTTTAATCCAAAGTAAGGCATATTACTAGCATGATGATTTAATGTAGTAAAAGAAAACCTACTTGTACTTCTTTCTCAGGAGAGAGTGTTCTCTTGACATAGAGATTGCTGCCAGTGGCTATACAAAAGAAATGCAGGAAGATGATGAACTGCTTTACCCAGCAGGTCCTGACGAGGATGATCATAAAACAGAGACATCAGACTTTGCAGAAGAGCCTGAAGGTAAACTCAACGTCCTCAGCGCAGATAAAGAAAACAGGGCAGACTTTGTGCGTGAAGTGGATGATTTCTCTGAAAGCAGATCCTCTAAAGACTTGATGAATTGCAATGAAGAGGCTGATATGACTGAAAGTAGTGAAAATACACAGACACTGAGTATGTCAGAGTTGAGTTCTGCCTTAGAAAAAGTTGAGAGGCAAACTACCCTTTGGAACATGAGTGATGACGCAGAGAGTTCTGTAACTGCTTTTTCTGAGGACAAAAGGATAACTGAAAATGCTGCTGAAGTTGAACATCAGACAGGTCAAGGAGAAGGCCCCGATGACAAGGACAATGAAGACGAATGCCCTGATCTGGTTGACTTGTCAACATTAAACAAGCAATTCAGGCCTTACAGGTAAAGATTCACATTGACTGTCTGTGACTTGTTTCCCCCCCGCAATAAACGGCCATCTTCAAAGTAGCTCAGCAAGGACTGCTCTTGTGCCACCCTTGTTTAAATTGAAGAGTAACACTTCAATTTTTTTTTTTTTTTGTTAAACATTAGAGTGAGTACCTTTCCTGTTGACTTCATGCTAGGTAACCTATTGATTGGTACTATATATGTAAGGCTTAGTGTGACAGATCAATTGTCTCGCTGTGTAGTATCCAATGAAAGAACCAGTCTTGGAATTAATTCATAGATCCCACCTATTTTCTCTGGTGGACTTTTTTCCCATCTTTTTTTTTCTTTACTTTAATTAATAATGATAGTGAAAGAGTTCTTGATGTTAAAATATTTCTTCTGAAATAACTCTAATGATTAGATTTATAATTAGAGTGCTCTTTCTTAAAGCCAATATATTCTTCCCCTCGCTCAGCTGAAGTTATTAGCAAGAACATGTTCCTTGGAATATATTATTCAAATATATCTTACTGTCTGTTGTTCTGGCTTTTAATTCCTTTCCTGTTTAGAAATTCCTGTTTACCTTCAGGCTAGCCAGTTATGCATGAAACTAATTCTGAGTTTGCCAGCTCCTCATGTGTCTGAATGTGCATACAGGCTCTTGCACACCCCTCTTCTTCCCATCCCTTTTGTGTTTTAGGGAAATGATTTGTGTAGGCAATATGCAGAACCTAAAATACGATTTATCACTTTCTGAAGTCTGCTTTAATGCATTTAGTATGTATGTGGCTTTTGTGTAATAAATCTAAATGTGTGTTTTGAAGAACTAGAGTTAAGACTTCAAATGTATATTTTCTGGAGTACTCAGAAGTTGTGTTGGGAATTTTCAGATTTTTTCTCCAAAACTTATGATTAGAACATGATAGCCATAAAAGGCAAAGGATGTTTATTTTGTTGCATGGAATAAAACATCAATTTTTGTATTTTAGAAACGAGGAGAGTATGGCTCATATCAATGAGCACAGAACAAGGACTAAAAGTATCACATCAGTCAGCAGCGTTGGGAGCTGTTCAACCATTCCACCGGTAATTTTTTTTTCCCCTAGTCTACTCTCAGTCCGTCTTAAATTGTACGTAGCTGACAGGAAGTATTTATAAAAATGTTCTCTAGCATTATTTATTAAATGGTTATTATGACATACCTCTGTGGTTTGTAGTTCCAGACCAACAGAAAAATAAGACGAATATTTTTGTAATTGTTTAGAAGTAGAAAATTTTCAGCAGTTCCCACCATCTGTTGCTCTTTGCTCTACTTTTCACCAATGTTCTACACCAGCATTAGCAGCTCTCTTATTTAGGCAATAACAGGTGTATGGATGGTAATACACTAATTTAAATATAATCAGTTCATTCACTTCTGTTGTTAGCTACAATTAATATTTTTGAATTGTAAAAATGAATGCTTGAGTCAAGATTTAGCTTGGCCATTTCCACTACCTATCTTACAAATTCACTCTTCTCTGAAACATTCATACAAACTCATTTCAATAGGTGGGTTTTTGGCAATATGAATTTGACTTGTTCGTCATATAAACGCGAATGTTTTGCAGCTGAAGTCAATGTCTTCTTCTTCAACCCCAGTCGGTATAGTCGGGATGGCTACCTTTATCACATTTCAAAAGGGCAACTTAATTTTAAAGGGAAGAAAATTGTTTCTAGTTATAATATGTCCTCCATATAAAACGGGAAGAAACTACTGTCCTATCAGCTGACACAGCTGATCCACGAAATATTTTTTTTCTTGTGGGTCAGACTGTATGCTTGCCACTGTAAACGTGGGCACCCGTATTCAGTCTCAGTTTCATTAACAGTTAGGGATAGCAGGTATGACGGATCCGTTTTGAGGAATGTGCTAGCGTAGTTTCAGCTCTTTCATGGCATGGACCAAAAGTCAAAATGTGCAGATCATCTTTTCAAAGCCTTTCTACTGCTCAATAAGAGTATGCATCCTATGAACATTGTGTCTGAAAACCCCACTATTGGCAAGAGTAATCACATAGTTAGACTTGTATATGAGAATCATCAAGCAGCCTCTTAAATCCAGGGTCTGCTACTTACTACTTCACTAGTCGTCTTAAAAAGGTTTTACTATTACCTCACTAGTCTTCTAAAAGAGGTTTTACTACCTCCTCTTAAGTGGTGTGTTTTATTCTGTGAAGAAGCCTTGTTTTAGACAAGGTGCCGCTGAGTGGCTATACTATTCATAGCATGCTTGGCGGCTTTACTTCTTTTTTTTCAGATAAGTATGTTAAAGATATGCCAATAACGTTAGAAAGTTGCACGCATAAACATACACGTTAAGGAACAGCCTATCTGTGTGTTGGCTAACACATTTTTCTAGGACTTCATGTGAGAAGAGAACAGATGTACATGCTAGTCATCACAGTTCTTATTATTCTAGGGGATGGCCTTAAACATCTCCCAAGGAGACAGAGGCTTAGGTTAGAACTGGGCAACGAAGGAAACGAGAGCCAGGATGACCTCCTCCTGTTGGCAATTGTTTTTTCCTCCTCCATTTCATTAATTTAAGTCTGCAGGTTTTCTAAAAAAAAGGTTGGTGCTACTAAGTCTTACAGAGAAAATGACTTGAAATTGTGCTCGTATACCACTTGGTGGCAGCAACGGTCATTCTGTAGCTATGAAAGGTTTGCGAGTGCTTACGGGATGTTTGTTTGTTCTGTAGCAGACACATAAAACATGTTAGAAATATTCAAATAGCATGTACCTAGCTAATATTCTGTTCTAAAAGAAAGAAACACAGTAGCAGGAGAGGCCTTCTAGAGACTGAGCCACAGAAACAGCTTTTAATCCTGCACTATCTTGCACGACACTTCCTCGGTAACTAACCATGAAGTGAAAATAAGGTTTCTGCCCATCGCAGAATCTTATTTGAACTTTTGAATGTTAGAGCAAAAGAAAGGATATGTATAATGAGCTAACTATAACATAAGAAAATGATTATAAAAGTGAAAATACAAAAGAATGGCACTGGATTAAGACCCACTGGGCTACGCAGACCCAATGCCGGTTATTGCTGCCGGCGTTGTTGTTGTTGTTGTTGTTTTTACAGCTTGCTTTCTGTTCAGTGGACAAAACATATATTGAAAAATAAACAGCATAAAAATATTTTCAAAGTAAACATGTGGAAGGAATTCTTATAGGCATATATATAACAATAGCAGTAATAGCTATGACAAAAATAAGGATGTTAAACCTTACCTGTAGGTGACTGGAATCGAGGTATGTAGGCTTGTATCCTGATTCAGACATCTGTGTTGCAAAGTTTCTCTCATCAATTTTTGTAAAAACGACCGCAGGGGAGAGAAGTAAAGAAGCCTTCCTTCAGGGTTCTGCCTATAAAAAGCACAGAATGACAGTTGCCTTACTAACAGAAGACGACATTAGTGAAACAGTTTTAATTCTGATCAATTTTTCTTCTGGAATACTTTTAAAGAAAATCTACAATTTTTATTTCCAAAGAGCTCATGCATAAAAACGCGAAGCACCAAAGGAAAGAAGGACGCATCACATGCAACTGTTTTTTATCCATGTTTAGAACTGCTGTTCTGGTGACGCCCTAATTACTACAGAATTCCTGCTACAATCAGAATTCTGTCCTTGAATTCCTAGAACACCTTTTATTTCCTTACTGTAGCTGTACTAGTCACAGCTACTTTTAAAGAATATAACTTGTCAAAACTATGCTTTCTAGTTCTTATTCCCTACCAACTTTCTACTTAATATGCTACAACGAAGTTTAGCTGATAGTACAATAAACAAAGCATCACAAGGCAACTGAAATTAGGGTAAATGTGAAAGAAATATTATTGGACAGAAACTCTTCCTCTTACCCCGTAGTTACTTGGACATCAGCAGATCTTCTATTAATGGCAGATTTATTCCTTGATAGCTTTTTAAATGCTGTAATAATTAGAATAAAGATAAGACACATTCCTGGAATTACCACCAAGATATGATTCCTGAACCTGATGACACAGTGTTAGAAAGATTGGAAAAAAAAAAAATTTGTGGTTTTTTTTTCTTTCTTCCAAGACAAGAAACACAAGCACATACTCAATACCACTGCAGCAAAACTTGAGTTGAGATCATTATTCCAATGAGGAATTCACAGCCAAAACCTGCTAAATCATAGCTTGGTTTTTATTATGCATAGCTATCGTTATCATAATATGAAAACATAAGTACAAATAACAAATGAAGATTCTGTAAAACCACTGCTGTTCTAGGGAAATGGCACTCGCCGCTGCTCTTTCAGTGCTGTTGCTCCAAACGATTCCTGACTGCCCCTCTTTGTAAGCCACGCTGGTGGTGAAGAGCCAGTGTTTCCGTTAGAGTTGCACTGAGATCGTTGCAATCCAAGCTTTAAAACAGACCAGAGTGCTAGAAAAATAGGCACAAGCTAAATAATTACTGCAGGGGCATGAAATGTTCTCTTGGGTCCTTTTTTGTAACTTAAAGGATACTTGTCAAATCTTCAAGCGTAGAACGTTACCACCTTTTACATTTTTGTGGAAGGCATGTTGGTACTGAAATGTAAGATTGCTAAGGGATGTCTTAGTACTAAATGATTTTCAGAAAGTACTGATATTGGCTTTATTTATTTGCAGGAAGTGGTGAAACGGAAGATAAAACGTCAGCTGACCAAGCAACAGAAGGCCGCTTTGAGGCGGCGGCTGCAGAAAGGAGAGGCAAATGTTTATACCCAACAGCGTCGAGAAAATATGCAGAACATTAAGTCAAGCTTGGATGCGGCTAGTTTCTGGGGATAATTTATTGAACCTTCCTCTAGAACGTCAGAAAACTCATAATATATATATATATTTGAAGTCATTACATTCTGGAGCAATAACCTTTATATACAATGGAATGTTTTTTTCCAAAGCTAATAAACATCATTTTGGTTCCTGTGACTTGGCTGGGGGATTCTGTTTTGTGTTTCTAGTTAAAACCATTGGCTGTGATTTAAACTGAATGGTATCAGGTAGGATAACTACACTAGGGTAATTCCCAGCCTTGTTCTAAATGGATTGTACTGTTTCTGTGTAGGTTAAGAATCTTTTGCAGTGCAGAAAAATTTTCTTAAAATTTTCCCTTCCACCTTGAAACTAATTTCTGCAAGGACATGAAATTAAAATCTGAAATGCTGCCATCTTACATTATAAAGAGATACTTCTTCAGTTTAATTAAGAATCAGAGATATATCAAACTGATACAAGTTAGTACTGAAATAGTTAACACTCTAAGCTCTCTTTTGTACCTGTACAGACATCAGCAAACCATATGTTAATACCCATACTTTGAACCAAGCAATTCTCTTTTTTTTTTTTTTCCCCCTTCACTCCAAGCTTTCACATATAAATCTTGCCCCAGAAAGACAAGTAATAAAAACAGTTTTGTACAGACCTGGCAAGCATTCAGATTTCTGAATGCGCCTGTGCAGTTGCATGTAAGCTTAGTTCCTTTATATTTAATAACTTACCAACAAGGACAATGAGTCCGAAACGTCTGTTTTCAGAAGTGTTACTCTGACTTTCAGCTTGTAATTTCCTTCTGGCCTTCGAAGACCTCAAAGAAATACAAACATCTTTAAGCAAGGTATTTCAGGTAATAAAATAAGATGGTGTCTCTCTTTTAAAAAAATACATTATTTATTTAAAGGAGGGAAGTGTTTGTGAGCACTGAAAAGGCTGCAGCAAGAAACAGCAGTTCAGACTTTTTCTTTGGTCTCTCTTAACCTTCCATCCCGTGTACCTGTGCTCAGGGGGTGAGGCGGAGCCCTTCTGAGGAAGAACAACTCGACGAGAGTTTAAATTCTCTTATTTTTCGAACGTCTTCAATCTATTTTATTTGCCTGGAAAAACAAGGACCTTGGAATTTGATCTGTGGTTTTATGCTCAGATGTCTGATAATATCTGTTCTGCTCCACCCTGTGTTCCTGGTATGCCTGATACCTTATTCGGGTGATATCCTATTGAAGAGTTACAGCCTCTATCCTGTCTTGCAGCATGCTCTTGCTTTTGAAGTTTTAAATTTTTGTTTCATTGCTGGAACAGTATAAAATGTAGTCTCAGCGAGCAGCTACATATGGTCTTAAGTATAACCACAGCGGGTCATTGAAGCAATACAACACGTAAGCGTGCTGCATCGTACCATCAGAGTTGCTCGGAAGTATGTTGACAAAAATAATAAGGAAGTTAAATCTTACCTGTAGGTGATTGGAATCAAGGCCTGTAGGCTTGTATCCTGATACTGTTAGAGTCAATGATTTTAGCAGGGGTAGAAAAGCGACCTAAGTGAATTTAACTATGTTTCCACTTTAAACGTGAAGGGAAAAAAATACCTTTTACATTTCTAGGTTCTTATCTGCTAAGAAGCTCTTTCAGCGACACTTTAATGAGATTTCAAAAACGTCATCCTTTGCCTGAGATGCGCGTACGCTCCTTGGCTTCCAGTTTAGAAGTCATTCTGAGTGAGTGGGGGTTTTTGCTGTGTGAGCTGAAGTCTGTCTTGGTAATTGGTTCCAAAAATATACAAAGGTTGTTCAGATTGATTCAGCTCCATCACAAAAGAAGGGATGATGGAAATCTACACTGTTTATTTTCAAAATGTTCCTTTAAAGCACCCATTAAGTCTTTTAAAGGTATTCTAATGGATGGCTGTAAGTTATCATTTTCACTTACCCCGCCAGACTAGACTCTTCTGAGACTGGAGTTAGCGAGGGAGGAACTAAACCTCAAAGTTACAGCTTAATATATCTTTATTAAGCTTTTTTTTTTTTTTGAAGCAGCAGAATTCCTGAAATATCTAAAGAAGTCATCAAAGGTCACAATGAAGTTTACACATAGAACGAACTTATAGTACTCACTCTGTTTGAATGTCCACCTATGAAACAAAGTTTACTTTATTTAGAGTGAACTTAGGGAAATGTAGAGGTTAAGACAATAATAAAGTTCCTGACAAGTCTTAACAAATTCACATATTTAGCAGCAAGAAATGTGTAGGTTATTCCAAAATTGGTTTAAAATGTTTCATTTTAATAGGCACACAAGGTAATAGCTGGAGTGCATGGGTTTGTAGCCAAACAAGATTTGAAAATGAATACAGAGCAGCTAGACAGATAAACATTGTTTGTACCACGCGCACTCAACATTATGCAACAGCACATGTTAAAGCTTTGGATTTTTTTCTTTTCCAAATCAGGAAGACTTTAGTGGTACTGAAATAATCAAGGTATTCTGTACCAGCACAGTGACTCCAGTTTATATAGCTTATGGTTGTTACAAGCACCCCTTCACTCAGCCTGAAGGAAAAAAACAGATGTTACACCTGTAAAACAGATGTATAGATGCATTTCTACTTCAAGCTTTTGCCAACGCCTCTATGTCTGACTGTTAACCGCAGCGCCTCTTCAGACCCTTGCACAACCCATACATCCTATTCTCCTATATAAAAATAGCTTAATTTACTGGCATTTTAATACACTTAAAGTACGTGGCATTGGAAACTAGATTTAAGCAAAACAGATTCAAGTTGAGTTAATACATCACAAGTGGTTTAATCTTGCTGTAGAATTCAGTTTACTTGCCATTATCATCAAAGTTCTGTTCCTGATTGATAGGTAAATTAAGAGAGGAACAAAAGCATACTCTTTTCTAAACTGCTGTTCTTATTTTTGAATGAGAGTCTACACGTTACCTTCCGGCTAGCGAGGAGTTTGGAACAACTTCACGTCTTAATGAAGTATTTCTTAAAGAAAGGTTCAGTCTTTTTCTAGCATTTCAGAGTAGTGGGGAGCAAAGCGGTGCCGTCATTAATTTGGCAGAAACCAGAACTGTCTTGCTTCAGCACGCTGTCAACATGTGGATGGAACGAAATGTCTTTCGCATGATCAGCTTCTCTGCCTAGCCTGTAGGTGGGTGTGTTTAACAGGAGGAAGCGGTAGGAAGGAGCTGCCTTTACAGCTAATTACCTCCGCGCACAACCAAGATAAGCCAGCCGGGGAGGTGGACCCCCTGAAGGGCCTTCGGGTCTGGGCAATGCCTGATTGGCAGATGTGGGGAGATCCTTTAGGAATCCAGTGCATCAATGAACTGCAAAAATTCAGCACGGGACTGGACTACTTCAGGCATGAGGACAGTTTGTGAACGCTTTCTGGAAACGCAGCCCCGACATGGACAGAACCTTGGAGTCTTTGCAACACATAATTGCCCGCGTTCTTCCTCATAGGGACCCTGCCCTGGTATTTAAAGACTGTAAGTACCAGAGACAAATATCTGACTTCTCTAACGATTCAATTATGGTATTTAATTCAAATTTCTGTTACAGTCAAGGCATGATAAAATAGAAGTAATTTAAGTGCTTGTATTTGCATGTATATGACAAACTATAATTCCATTTTAATTCAATGCATCTAAGACAGTGTCCTCGGTTAGTTTTTAACTGCGTTTCAGAAGATCGATTCAGAACTTTTTCACAGGATACTTAATTGAACTTAGTAACATATCGGTCTTGTGGTACTCTATCTTTACTGTTTGACATTCATGGAAAATTTTAGGTCACTTACTTCCCTTTCTTTCTCTGGTAATTAGTTTGTCCTATTAAATTGCACAATTTAACTAGTGTTTCTGTAAAACTCTAAGAATCAAATATTAAAATCTTTACGCTTCTGTTTGGACAGATGCAATGCAATATGCTGCTTAAGCACAAGAGGTTTTCTTGCAAGTACATGTAATATGATTTCTTTTCCTATCAATCAGACTTGTGAATGAAACGCACTTTTTTTTACAGTATACCAAAACTGTTCACATAGTTGTTCTATGTATTTTTTCTCATTTTACAAGCCGCATGTAACTAGCTCTTGTGAAACATTAGGTCTGAAGTGCTTTTGAGCAAGTGCTGCATAATAAACTGGTCTGACATGTCCTACGAAACAAATGGAGCCAAACCAGATCATGGGAACAAGAGTATTTGAATATGGCTTTATGATTTCCGTAGGACTATGCATGAAATGAAGTACTATTTAATTAGTAAAGTTTTACAAGACTCACCCACAGTTCCATAGATTTCACACACCAGTGGCTGGAAGACAAATTAAAAACAGATAAATTCAATAAATTCAACAAAACAATATTTTGCTTCCATTTACTTCCGTTACTTTTATGGTTTCCTCCAATGGTGAATGGGATCACTTAATTTTGCGTCCCTAAATCCAGTTCTGCCTAAGCTTTTTGACTGTTAAATCTGGGAGTTTGCTAGGTGTCATTGCAGTCTAAATTGAGCAGTTGTGTGATGTACAGACAAAGCTGGGATAACATGTGATTTCAGGACCTTTTTTCTTCACATTCAAATCTAATTGTGATCTGTTGTGCCCCTAAGGCACAGTGCAGAGGCATTTATTTAATCTCCACTTCATTCATTTGTCAACAGCTACGTTAGAGTTAATAAAATCAGTCTCATACAATCAACTGTTTCCTTCTGAATTGCTATGGGAGAAATGACTTTAAGTACATGGCTAGTAAAGGACCTAGGGGGAAATGCCTGCATACTTCTGTATTAAACTTCTCTATGTGCCAAATTCCCATACTCTTACTCACAGTGAAAACTGAGAGACTGCACAAGCAGTTCCTTGGAAATGAGTAGGAATATTCATGTAGAAAGATGCTATTCTCACATGACTATGGTATTAGGATCCTTCCTGAAACTAAGCCGGACATCTGTTTCTCAGGCCACCCAGCAGGAGATTTTTATGCTGCTGGATAGATCTGCATTAGCGTTGCAGTCTTGGGACCTTGCAGGGAAGCCTGCAAACGTACACACATCACAGGAGCGCAGAATTTGAGCTGCAGGGGGAAGGGGGAGGAAGAAGGGCATTCCCTTTTATAGGTTACCCTTGGTAATCAGTTCCTGCAGATCTACTAGGTTTTTATTGGAAGTGTATGCACAAGCTGCTCGGACAATGTGGTTGTGACCACCCACAGACCTAAGGGTGGGAGAGATGATTAAAATGAAAGAAAAGTGTAAGTAACGGGGTTGGAATACCATTTTTCTTTAGGTTTTCAAAGGCATAACAAGAACTTCAAAGGCATTCTAACAGAGGAGTAACCTACACGGGCTTGGTACCGCTGTGAGCGTACACCACCAATCCCGACTGGTGACAGAAGTTCACAGTGCCTTGGTCTATAAAGTCAGAGGAAAGTTCCTATACATTCTCTTTATCTTCAGCACCAAGTCAAGTCCAAAAAGATTTAGGGAGTGTTGTCCCACCTCATCTAATTTTTAATAGACAATCTGAGCAGGGATTAAACTGTGGAAAGAAGATAATGCCACGTGCTTCTCTGTAAGAGCACGTCCACAGCTTTTACAAACACATTAGTTTCAGCTTTTATCAGGCACAACCAGATAAGAACGAAAACACATGCAGCGACCACATTGCTGCCCCGATAGCTACCTTCTGTCACGCTCTCACTCGACTCAGTGCACAGGCAGATCTGAGTTTTGCCAGGAGGAGAAAAGATGACCATCTCCGAACACACTTTTACCACGGTTCGAGGCTGCACACCGTCTTTGTTTCTGCTGCAGCCAAGCAAGCGCTGCTTACTCTGACCCAGGGGCGCGCTCTTCTGCGACGCCTTCGCTGTGGCTTTCCCCGGCCGCAGCACGCAGGACCAGCCATTTCAAAGGTCCCTGCCTCCCTGGGCGCAGCCTGCAGAAGCAAACGCAGCGGGTGCTGAATGCTGCCGCACTGCTCCTCCCGGGGTAACATCTCCTCACCAGAAGGGAGGAGAGATGACAGGACTGCGGACAGATGCAGAGCTGGGCACACGGGCAACAGCACCACAGGGCTGTTTTGTTTCTCCCGGCCCCTCCCCATCATACAAAACTTTGCCCGTATCTCTAGTTAGTCCTTGCAAAAACACACAGAGTGGGAAAGATGGTTTGTCTTTGCCAGGTTATCCTATTAGTAGATAAAAGAGATAGCTGAGGCAGCAGCCCTGCGTATTAGCATTTCCTCCTTAGTCTCTGCTGCGCCTGCGTATTTGAGCTGGTTATCGTCCACACTGGAACTTTTGGCCCATACTAGGCAGAAAACAATTTTTGCCTGAATTAACAACTTACGGGTCTCTTTTCCTTTGAAAAGCTGTATTCCATGTTTTTGATAAGGACTCAGAGCTTACTAGCAGAAGTGCCCCTCTGAGCAGAAGATGTGATTCTGAAGTCACTAGAAAACCTTACCTGCATTTCTGCTTTTGAAACGTCTCAGCTTGTCCACGCTCTGTGGAGGCAATCTCTAGACGTGAAATTCCTTTGCCAAATTATGGTGCGCAAGCGGCGAGGAGCTGGGCCTTCAGCAGCACCTCAGGGCCCGCTGACAACTCCGCTGGGCCCTCGCACGTGGGCCCGGCCGAACCTGCTGGGGGCCCAGGGACGCAGAGGGCAGAAGCGTGAGATTTACGGCAGAGGGAACAGGAGCCCGCACGGCAGTCTCAGGCAGGAGACACAGCGACGCGAGTACGAACCGGTGGGACAGAAAACAGCAGACTGGGATGGCCAAGCTGCAAAAAGGCCACAACCAGCAGCCCGGGGGACAGAAGGACGGGCAAGAACACCGGCTCTGGGATTGCACCAGGAGCCGAGGCTGGATGGAGACGGACTGGTTATGGGAACTAGAAATGAGGATACGAGGCTCTAATGAACCAATTAAACAAAGACGACATGGAAGTGAAGCGGCAGGGCAAGGAGCTGGGATGGAGGAGGATACTAAGGCCAAAATAAGGAGCCCAGCTTTCAACTCTTTTAACTGCAAGAGTGACGTTTTCTTTTTTGCATTTCCCTGCTGTGTCCATTATGCAGCTTCCATCTCAGATAACGTAGGGCTCAAATCAGTAACACCCTCTGCCACACAACGCAGATTCAACCCCAGAGCAGGTCTGACCTGTGCCCTGACAGGAGGAAAGAAGGGCCATGACACCAGGGCAGAAATGAGAGGGTAAATTATTGTGTAATTAAACTCTTTCTCCTGTGTAAATTAAATTCATCCCCCTTCTCCGTATGTACCATGATATACTGGTGCATTCTAACTACAGTTCTTTTTCTTTTTTTTTTTTTAATGTTCTTTGAGGAAAACGTGGATACTCAAGCAAGGAAGGAAACTGAGCTTATGCATGTCATAAGCAGTCCCAGTAAAGGCTACATTGGAGAAGGGTAGTTTTTATACTGCTGACAGCTGTCAAGGAATGTAATGCACCACTTGACATGCCCACTTAGTTTTTATATCTCATAATATTGTCCTTCTTTAGCTAAAACGTGGTTTGGGGTTGCATTTCCTGCACGTGAATTATTTCTGTAAGCTAAAGAAATGGAGAAATCCCTTTTCCTAATGTAGAATTGCCTGAGTAGAGTCACTCTAATATATACTACAGACGAGGTTTTCAGTATCATGACCGATTTTGTACTGAAGTAACTCTGTAGGAGACTCAAATACAAGTCAGAACACAGTTCTGTTAAATACTGTACAATCACAGAGTAGATTCTCTGCCTGAAAATGCTTACAGTATAAGTAATGCACTTGTACAATGCTATCATTACCATTACCCCGATTTTTGCTGAAACATATCATAAACTATCCAGAAACTCTCACCCCAGATCCAATATTAGATGACGTTCTGTGCAGAAAGGTTTTTTCAAACATATGTTAATTTTATTAGTTAGTTCTTTTCTCAGACATTTCTGGTTCTTAAGCCAGGTAGTAAATACTAGGTAGTAATACCAAATCTAAGAGAATTAGATAGCACCCAATTTTCTAAGTTGGAAATGCCAGAAAAGTAACTAGCTACAGTCCTGATCCAACATCAAAGAAGTCAAAGGCTATTAACCAAAAGACTTTGGATCAGGCACTGTATGACCTTAGGAAATAACAGAACTGCCAAAGAAATGTAGTCTCTTTGAGGGGTTTATTGTTCTTTTGGGGGATTTTTTTTTTTTTTTAAAGAAATGGCCTATTTCAAGATGCGAGAAGATGTGAAAATCTTAGTAAAAGTAAATTCATAATGAGAATGGAGAGTACTTAAAACACTTTGGTCCTCAGCTATGTCACATGTAGAAGGCAGGAGAGAGCAAGACCCAGGCAAGCAGGCAGGATAGAGCCTTCCCTAGGATGGGAAGTAAGCAGCTCAAGCCCAGAAGCTCGTAATTCGGCTGTGCTTATCACCTCTGCGCAATCTCAAAAGCGTAGCAAGGGTATCGTGACTGATGC